CATTTTGACAGCTGCTATGGTAATTAGGCCTTTCTGAACTAAACAAGTCAACAATGTAGGAATTGGAAAACAGAGCTTTGTCAATTGTATTTGTATTCCTTGTAGTTAATAGGGTTTGCACAAAAGGTCCGACGGCTAGGCGGTCTGTTACTATCTCCTCCGTAGCTATCCAGATACACCTCAGTCGATGAAGACCCAAAAGCGGACCACCTAACTCGTTAATTGCAGAGCAAATCATAGGTTGAGACATAGAAGTATGAGATTGGAGCTTAAGGTTGTTATTAGCGAGGACGGAATAGCCGGAGGTATTAACCTGATGCTTACTAGCTAACTGGCCGAGGAGCCAAGCCTGTACAGACCGGTTTATTAAAGGACCAGGAGAAGACAAGTAGATTGAAATTGTTTCGGCAAACGTTTGACCTCCGGGGAATAGATGGCAACTGGCCAGTTGTGTGGATGTAAGTGGACATTCAGAATGACACGACGTAGTCTGAGAAGCCACGGTAGGATTGAACTCAACAACGGAGCACTCGAGATTTTCGAGAATATGGCGGAACGAATACCAGGAAGTCTCCTATACAAATAAGACAAATAAGAGCCAAAAATTAGTCACATTGTAATTTTGTAGGGTAGCGTAGGGTCAGACTGGCCCTAATCTTCAAAAAACCAGAAAGAGATAATCTGATCATAGTTTCAAACATATGAACTTGGATAATTTGTGTGCTGCTACAAACTTTTTGTTAACTATCAGCCTTTGTGGTTCTCCTTCTTTGTTTAACTTCGGTAACCCGTAAGCTGTTGGTGGTCGTGAATCCTTTTTATTAGCGAATTTATTGTGCATCCATTGATCTCCCTGTTCCTATGCATATCTTTCAGCATGTCCCGTAATGTTCCACTAATCTCATAGTTGGGTCCTTCTTTAGTACATGATACGTAGTCCTATCTTGCAGTATACATTCCATTTTCTCGGTATATTGTTTTCCGTACAATAAAACTGTCGCTCCTCCTTTGTCTGTCTGAAAAATAAAGTGTTCATTCCTTTCTGGGGTTCTTCGTATCCTCGCATGAAATGTATACTGCATGACAAGACTGCGTATCATCTACTAAAGAAGGACCCAACTATGAAGATCAATGGAACCTTACGAGACTTGCTGAATGATATGCAAGACCACCAACAGCCTACGGGTTACCGAAGTTACACAAATAAGAAGAACAACCAAGGCCGATAGTCAACAACAAGTTTGGAGCAACACAAATTAGCCAAAGGTATGAAGACCAAGATGGTGTGGCCTTTTGTGTGGTCGCAGTCTCCACTTGTTGTATAGAAATTGTTTAACCTTGTTTTCGCAACTTAGTCATATTGGTAGGAAGACTTAAAAGAACGCACCTGGTCAGGAGTCCATTGAATGCATCAACATTTCCAGAGTAGGACCGTGGACCTAGTACATTCCCAGACGTTTCGCAGCATCGTCAGTTAGTCTCGCCATTCGTAGCACCATAATACAACTCGTCAAAGAGACAAGTGAAGCCCATCCTTTGACCAAACGTGTGC